TACTTATCTATTTACTAATAATATATATATATATATATATATATATATATATATGGGTGTGGTTTCTATAAGACACCATCTATTTTGATGCACACCATAAAAATCAATGTCAAGATGATCAATTAGAGGGCTTTTCAACATTAAACAACCTTTTCCGATGGATTTTTTAGGTGCGCCTATAACTCTACATTTTAAGTTACAACCTTACATAAACTTTTTCACTGTCAGATCTCAATGTTCTGCTTTTTGAAATTGTTTCATCTGGTGCGACACTATTAACTTCCTTGACAAGAGATGGGAAAATAGTCCAAGGTCATTCAAGAAGGCATAGGTTCCACCACAACAAGAATAAAAAATCAAAGATTCCAACAAGACCAGAGAAGGGCTTAAACATGTCCAAATCTATTACTAAAGAAGCCCTTGAGCTAGGAGATCCCGGTTCCCAAGATTGCTAACAACAAATTTTGGGTGGAGTTAGTTTACACTTCTGATGCAAGGAGAAAATAAAACTGAAACAATAAAAATAAAATAAATACAATCGTTGAGAGAATATACCCTCTATCAAGGTCTGCAAGGGAATCCACCCCAAAAACAAGGTTAGCAAGGGAATCCACCCAAAAAAAGGATATACCCTCTCTCAGGGTCTACAAGGGAATCCACCCCAAAAAGATCTTATCACCAGATCAACATTATTCAACTCTCATTCTTTGCTCTCTCATGTACCATCCCTACTTTCTCTCTTTCTAACTTTCACATTACTAAAAGATAACTACCACTTATTATTTCATAAACCAAAAGATCTTTACCTTATCTAAATGTTAGTCCCTAAACTAAAAAAATATAGACCTTCCCAAAATAAGTCACGCACCAAACTTAGGCCCTCTTAACTTATCTCGTCCTTTGAATTTTTCTCCTCCGTCATTCTCCCCGAGCTGAAAGAAGCTCGACCTCGAGCTTGAAGCATATCACCATCTACTAGTTGATGATGTAGTCCCACCATGCGCCTCGGCACTTATTCTTCAATTTCTTCATTAAGCCGATTCATCGAATGCTTCGTGCTTATCTCGAAGTAGAACATAGTGCTTTCGGTCTCACTCTTGATTTCTCCTTCAGATTCACTTGGTTGGATTTCGAATACTGCACCACACATATCTTCTTTTTCATATTGGATTTTCAAAATTTTTTCTTTTTCTTCACAATTGATATTCAAAATTTCTTGCACATTGGCATCGCCTTTTGCATAGAGACCTACCTCTTCACATTCTTCTTCCTCTTGTTCTGATTGCAATCAATGAAATACATCTCGTAGACAATTTTCTACTACTTTGCCAATACTCTCTATTAGGTCTTCTTTGAGTCTCTCAAATCTTTGATCCAATCGCTGGAACCGTTGATTGATGTCACGAACTTCGCTTCGAACATCTTCCATAATTAGATCATGGATCTCAAGGCTCTTTATATCAGTACGAATCTTAGGGCTCTGATACCAATTGATGCAGGGAGAAAATAAAACTAGAACAATAAAAATAAAATAAAGAAAATCGTTGCGAGAATATACCCTAGAACAATAAAAATAAAATAAAGAAAATCGTTGCGAGAATATACCCTCTCTCAAGGTCTGCAAGGGAATCTACCTCAAAAACAAGGTCGGCAAGAGAATCCATTCAAAAAGAGAATATGCCCTCTCTCAGGGTCTGCAAGGGAATCCACCCCAAAAATATCTTATTACAAGATCAACTGTATTCAACTCTCATTCTCTGATCATTCTCTGCTCTCTCACGTACCATCCCTACGTTCTCTCTTTCTAACTTCCACATTAGTAAAAGATAACTATCACTTATTAGTTCCTAAACCAAAATATCTTTACCTTATCTATATGTTATTCCCTAAACTAAAAAAAAACATACATTCCCAAAATAAATCACGCACCAAACTTAGGCCCTCCTAACTTATCTCTTCGTTTGAATTTTTCTCCTACGTTAACTTCACTCACTATGAGTCACCATCCACTAATCCCTAATATGGTCTCGTGTGCTAATACCATAAATCACGCACCAAACTTAGGCCCTCCTAACTTATCTCTTCCTTTGAATTTTTCTCTTGAGTTAACTTCACTCAGTATGAGTCACCATCCACTAATCCCTAATATGGTCTCGAGAGCTAATACCTCAAAAGTCCTTAACGCCATAGTTCATGAGAAGGAAATGACCCAGCTCCAATCCCTAGAAACCTAAATGCTTAAGTTGCACCACCAAAATCCCATAATTTGTTCAAAAAATGCCCAAAACAATTTCAATGAATCAAATCTCCAAAGAATATAAGCTATGTAGTATAAAAAGGGAAAAGGCCAACAAAGAGAAGGCTCAAGACCTGTTCATCGTGATGTGAGCGCCAGAATGAATGTTGCCATCCACATGAAAGTGATAGCCATCAAACAATTAGGAAAGCACCATAAGAGATAAGCCAGAGACCCCCCAACACTTGGTTGTTGAAGGTACCAAAAAACTATCATTAAAGAAAAATAATTTGCACTCAAAAGAGACCTTATCCCATTGTGACCAAAGGTAGAATACACATCGACTCAAGACAACCCATTTAGTGGCAAAAGGTGGAAATCCCATCATCCATCAAACACCTCATGAGGTGATGACACAACAAGCCCAACCCCTGCCTCTCAAAGCATTCCCTAACCCATGACTTTAGGTTGGCATCAATAAACCTCTACAGTCGACAAGTGAGTGTCAAGAGAACCCACCCACACCAAACATAAAACCAAAACCCATTGTTTTAAAAGTCAGCCAGCCTAGGCGTTTTAAGGCAGGCCAAAGCCCTATGCTCCTTGCCTAGGGATAGGAGGGTACCGAAGGCAGGGGGACCTGTCTAGGTGGCCAAGGTGCTGCTTAGGCAGGAGCCTAGTGCCTTGGCTGCTACTGCTTCATCATCTTCTTCTTTCTCTTCTTCTTCTTATAAACTCAGCCCCATCCTCTCCTCCACTTCTCCCATGTTAGATTTGGGGCACCTCAAACACGAGGAGCAGCCACTTCTGCATTTTAAAACACTGCTAAAAGCTAATCCCATTCCTTCATGCCACCAACATTTGCATTACTACCAAATCAAATCTAAAATCATGGGGTGAATAAAGCCTAAAAAACCTTGATATTCTAGAAGATTTGCACAGTGCAATGCTACCCCCCTCGTGTTTCTGCCTCGGATACCCTGTAAAATTCAAAAGTCATATATGGATAACTTCCACAATGAAGAGTCAATGACATTTTCCACCAAAAAGGCTTACTTTGGTCTGGTCAATCCTGTTCCCCAAAGTCCATACTCCATACCCCATACCCTCATCCTCCAAACTCACCAAATGGAACTTGCCTTCTCCATATTTTCCTCCCAAAGGACAATCCTTTGA